ACTCGCTCTGGAGAGCAGAGTTCGCTGCTTTTAGATGTTGTCTCCAAAGTCTCCAGTAGCAGAAAAAAGTAGCTAGATTTGGCACACGGACGCTGCCTGATGTTATCATTGTTGTCTGGGCAACCACAATGTTTTACATCACTGTGTCAATGTTCAGCCAATCACTCAGGCCGTTTCTTAATATGTGTGCTTGTGCATTCTCATGTGCGTGTACTCAAAAAAACGTCGTCAGCCTCAGCACTAGTGCTCTTCCAATTCACAAGAACAAAGAGACAGAGAACGGACAAAGTCCCAGGATGTTTTTCTCGCCCCTCCCTCTTTACCCAGCATGCATCAGAGCAGACTTGTCCGTTCTCGAGATTGACAGCTGTCCCATGTTAGCAGCGACCCTCTCTCTGCAAAGCCGTTTGTGAAGTACCGCTGCCTCTGAAGGCGATTTTTTTATTTTCTTGTTTTATTTGGCAAAATGTTCTTTTGATTTGTGATTATCTGACTGTGTTATTATTCCCCCACTAAATGAAAAAAAGTCATAATTTATTATTATCTAGAGACTATTAATAAAAGGAGGTTGTCGCAGTCTTCTGTTCCAACAAAAATAAAATACCAAAATTTCCAACGAAGGCCGTGGTGGTAACAGGTGATTTTGTTTTTGTACGCACTTCCAGCTTGACTTATTGTAAAATAAAGAAATACTTAAAATGTTTTGGAACTTAGTAGAAACGAAATTTAATGTTTTAAGCTCCCAAAAAAGTGGTCAAAAAATTTTTTTTCAAAACCTCCCGTCCACACTAGACATTTACCAAACCATCCTTCAATACCCAGTGTGCTTTAATCACTCAAATTAATGGGAGGGTCTAACAATTAAGAACTTACTCCAAACAATTCCAAATGTAAAAAATAAATAACACATTTTGGTTCTAAATTAACTTAAATATATTTTATATACCAAAAGACAAAAACTAAATTGGTAGAAATAACAAATAACAAAAATTTAGCATAAATGGCCACAACAGAGGTGAAATGCAGCTCCAGACGAGCCGAGCGTGTGATGTCATCAGTACGCTTCTGTTCCAACTGACTCATGTTTATGCTGCATGGTCCTGTTCTCACCAAGTACACACTTTCCTGTGACTTGATGAGAACATCAGTCCGTTCTGGTAATCTAGTGAATTGAGAAACCACCATAGTGTAACGTCGCTGGCATGCGCAGGGCGCTAGCAGACCTGGCATTGAAACTGGTTGTAAAAGAGGATCCATAATCCAGTAAATCCAGCTACATTATATCTACCTGAGCTGATCTGAAATATGTGAAGTTAGTTGTGGTTGGTAAAGTAACCCGAAATATTACTGAGAGTAACGACACCCTCACAAGAATATGACTCAAGTTAAAGGGAAAAAAAATAACTACTCCTAAAAGTACATTCCTTTCTAAAAGTTACTATAGTAAATGTAAGTAGTTACTACCTACCTGTGGTTAGCATGTATCCTAGGTATTACAAGTGACAGCTTTGTGGCTCCTTCTCCGTCAGAGATGCTGAACGGGGAGTGAGTTCAAGCCTCAGAGTTTCACGCTCTTCCTCCTCTGGCCTCTTTCAGACGGCTCCTCTGGGCAGCATGGAGCGCTGGATCTGTTCCCGCCTCTACAGCACGGTGCTGCAGTGCGAGGAGGCGTTTGAAGCTTGCGAGCTGCATCTCGTCACCTCCGCCCTGTATTCTTTCTGGGTGCACAACCTGTGTGACGTTTACTTGGTAAGGAGGGAGGATCTTTGTGCCTTGTTATCAGACCATGCTTTGTTGCTAACTTCCTGTTATCTGATCACTGGAGAGCTAAACGCTAAGCCTCACGGAGGCCAATTCACAGGTTAATATTGCAGTTCCAGAAGTGTTTGCCTAGTTCCTAGAATCCAGTTTAATCATTCCCATTATCAAAAGCCCCATTTACATTACCTTCTGAAAACCGATACATGCCGAGCTTCGATCAGTTAACCGTGCCAAGCTTGGTTCCTTATGACCGTTTCCACACCATGCTAGCATGGTTCCTCGCCTCCTAATGACGATCTACAGTACTACTGCTCTCTAGCGGTAAACAAGCAAACCAACATGGAGGTGCCTGTAACATTTTAACCTGACTCCGCCAGCTGGATTTGCTCCGCATATCCATCTGGAAACCTTCCATTGAAGTAATTTTGGGAAGGGGCGAAAATGCAGGTTAGCTGATTGGCCTATGTTGGTGATAGACGGGCCAAATAAACCAATCAGATCAACGAAGCATAT